AAAATGGACAAAGTTTCACCTTTTAAATAAACAGATGCCTGTGTATTACAAATTGGAAGCAAACATATCTGCTACTGAATTGTATATTTTTTTTTAAATGTCTCTAAGCAAGATGATATTTTTTTACTCAGTTTACACTGCCCTCAAAAAACAAAAAAATAAATTACTTATTTAGACAGAAGGAATCATGTGAGTAAAAACCTGTAGCAGAAATATCATGGACTTCAAAGTCAAAGAAAACAGGATTAAAGCAGATAAACCACAGATGAATTCTTCTGAAATGTTAAAGAACAGTCATATTTTTCTGTACTTGAAAACCATACACTTATGCATAGATATATTTTCTTTACTGTTGCTTGTACATTTCTAAAATAGCAACAAATTTTCTGTACTTTAAATATCCACCAGGGTAGCAACTGCTGCAAAGACATCATCCCAACATTAGGGACAATTATAAAAGTTGCTTGCACAGTACTGCTTCTTATTTTTCTGGATATCAAAAAGAAGAACATTTTAATAAGCACTAGAAAACAGAACTAAATAATATTATTTTATATATTCATAGAATCTTCTACTTAAGTAATTTCACGTCAGAGACCTAGACAAATAAGCTGATTAGAGCCATAAATGTGCCAAGGATCAATGTATATTTAGGATTACATTTCATATGGGAAGATCTTCAGTGGATTTAAACACTCTATAAATATTGACAAAATAGGATACTTGACCCAAATTCCAATATTCACTAAATATAAGAAACAAACAGAGAGCAACCTGATATCTGAAGAAACAAGGTATTTCCATGTAGAGTACAACCTAGAGAAAAGTTTCTGTTTCTATGTTTAAAGGCATTTGTATAACTTTTAAAATAGTAATGACATAAAAGAAATTTTCTACGATCTTGCAGATACAAAATAAGGTATAAAAGTCATTGGTTCATATTGTAAATCCCTAGTATTTTACATACAAAAACCTTTTAAGTTTTCAGGAGTCTCCAGAGACTAAAGGCTATGCAAACATGGATAAGTATGTAATACTATCAGGTTGCTAATTTAATTTCTTTTTTCTCTTCAGGTAAATTAACATTGCCAGTTATAAGCCCACCAGAGTTTCAGCTTCAGCAATAAGATATTTGTTTGTTTGTTAGACAAAGTTTCAACATCAAAACATTCTTTACCAGGAAGGCTCATTGGCAATGTCGTCCATCTTGCAAAATCATCTCTCAATGCTTGGGAGCCAAAGAGGTCCTGAAAGCACAACTCCCTGGTTTTAATTTTAATCTGGCTTTTCAGCTCTTTCTATATGTGTTATATTTCATTCCTATTCCTCTAAAAGAAGGTTCTACAAGTGTCTTTGCTATCCTCTTTAACTATCCTGTCACTTGTTTTGTCCTTTTCTTCCACCACCATTTCCTCTCTCGTGTACTTGAAATCTAAAGAATTTTTCCTTTCTTTACTCACTGCTTAAGAATATGTGCCATCCTGACAGATATTGGAGAGCACTGCACCAGCATTGTCATGGCTCTGAACCTAAGTTATCAGCCCTGTTTCATAGCACAGACTATTAGCTCACATTCACACTGCTGTTGTGATCCTGTGGCTTGTGATTATTCTGAACAATGAGCAGGTCAAGCTAATGACAAATGACACTCTGCAAAGAATAAAGATTTAGTAGATTATTACCTCTCTGTATATGACACTGTGACATCAGGATTAGTGTCTTGCATTAACCAAGTGGCTCATCCCCACCCTAAAGATAAGATATGAAATAGAAAAGAAACATCCCATTTCTATATAATTGGTACTTTCTTCCTTCTTATTTGTATGTGATTTCACAGCAAAAATTTTCAGAAATAATTTGTAGTTTCTGCTTTAATTTTCTATTTTCTGCTAAATCGTCATGTATCATTCAAATGAACTAATAGAGGAAGGGCTGTGAATCAAAACCCTTATGTCTTCTTACACTCTAACAGAAATCTGGTACAGCTGGTCCTTGGTCAACAGTGGCATTCCAAAACTGTGGTTTCACAATTCAGGTTACTCTTCAAAGTGAGCTAAGGGTTTTGGAGTTGTGTTCTCTTCCTTGTATGTTTCCTTTGTGGTGTTGCAGGTATATCAGCCAGCACATGCACAAAGCTTTAGCACTTTTCACTTAGCTTTCTGCTTTTGACAATTCAGAAAACCAGAAAGTTTTCCATCTAAAATAGGATGGCTGTGAGTTTATCTAGTTTCTTCAACTTTCCCATCATAGCTAAGAAAGCAGCTCTCTCTTCACCAATTGTAGTCTATCAGCTGACAGATATCCAAGTCAAGGAAGTGTGTCTGCAGTGGAATCTGATGCCCTGTAAAAACAAATCTGAAAAGAGCTGTCAGAGACAGCTTATTCCAAACAAAACAGTGAAAGAAATTGCAGCTGTTTCAGTTGCAAAGTGAAAACAGGTATTTCCACGAAGAGCTTTATAATTCACATAAAGAAGAAAAAGCAGCAGGCCAAATTTAGAGGAATGGGTACAGAAGGAAGCCTTCCCAAAGTACTGTACTCTCGAGGAAGGGAAGAAAGACCCACATTTAGCGCACTATACTAGGAATGGTGAGGTAGTATGACACACAGACTATCTTAGCTGGGTTGCACAAGATAGAAAGTTTTATTATTCCACATCTTCTTTTATAGGCAGGTCTGAGAAGATCTGAGAGGTAGAACTCTCACTGGTCATTAAACCAATACATCACCATTATTGGTCAAATAGGAACACCACCCCTTGACTGTTTCTTACAAATAAACAACAAGTATCCTAAACAACACCTACAACGGTTGTTGTCCTTCTCCAAGGACTGTTTGAATTCCTTCTTATGGTTTATCAGGCCAGAGTGAGAACCTTGTGTGACTTAGTTTCACAAAGGCTCTGTGCTCCCCGCCTGCTTTCTTGCATTTAGCATCCACACATATCATCCAAAAGTACAATGAAGTAACAAATCAAGTTAAGAAAAGTTAATCCTCTGTTCTTTGTAATATGGTTCAAAAATAAGATTTCCCATATATTTACCTGAAAGATACCACATCATTTAACACAAGTAAAAAAAAAAAAGTATTTTCAACCAATTTTTTTTTTTTTTAATTTTTGTTTTCTAATTTTACAATTACACTAAGATGGAATTAAATTTTGCATATTGAGCCGGCCCCTCTTTACAATTAAGATCTTATAAATGCATAGTTTTAATTTGTAACTAATTTTTCAGGAATGTTTGTAAAATTAAGTGTACCTGCACTATGCCAATGCAAAATAGCCTAAACTCTGAAAATGGTTGTGCATTTGAAGGGTGCAATATATCATGTTCTGTAATTATTGGAGGGGCCAGTAATCCCCAGTTCAATTTTTACAACTCTAATTTTCACATCAAAACCAATGTCTACATGAATTACAATCACCCCAATACACTGCAAATTAACTCTTATTTATCAAACATTTTAGTATAACGTTTATGTAACATTTGTAAATGATAAAAAGATGGTTTAAAATATCTGAGCCCCTAACCACAAAGCTTCTGAGAATGTACTTTTGATTCATTTTGTACCTTTCATAGGCTTATATTCTTGTAAAACAATAAAACAATAATAAATATTATACCTTTCAGACTACGCGGTTTCATCAAGAAAACAGTTATCAATAAACTTAGTTCACTAAAACTAGATGGATAGTAAAACTAGCACTGCAAGCCCAGGTGATTTCATAGCTTCTCTCAGCAAACTAAACCAATGCAAAAATAAGCCCGAAATTTGCAATTTAAAGTACTGCTGTAGGGAGCATGAAAAAAAATCCTTTGATTTCCTGCTTTCATTCTGGGTTATTTGTATGATCTTAAATGACATTATATACAACACAGTCCAATGTGATACAGCAGAAGCTAACCCTACGTAATCCAAAGAAGGAAATAAATCTGACTTTTGCCTTGAGGACAGACAAAGGCTGGTTATTTTAGGGCATTCACACAGGATCACAGGGTTGAGTTTGGAAACTTGGGATTTTGGATGTCATCTGGTCAAACCCCCCTCTGCTCAAATGGGATCACCCCAGAACATTTCATTTGTCAATTTTCAATTGTCCAGGACCACAATCAGATGGTTTTTGAATATATCCAAGGAAAGAGCTTTACACATTATCTCTGTGCCAGAGCTTGGTTGCACTTTTCTGATGTTTGAAAGGAACCTGATGCCATTTCATTTTGTGCCTGTTATCTCTTTCACTATAACTGGGCACTGCTAGAAAAAGCCTGTCTCTGTTTGGTTTGCTCCTTTCATGTATTTCTACACGCTGATGAGATTCCTGGAGCATTTCCTCTTCTGGACTAAGCAGTCCCAGCTTTCTCAACCTTTCTTTGTATAAGAGTTGCTCCTTTGCTGAGCTCTCTCCTGTATGTCCACACTTCTTTTGTATTTGAGTGCCACTGGAATGAACTTTACATTTACGCTCTGTACGGGTGGCTTTGGACCACAAACATAGATCAGAAGGGTTATTTCCCTGTGTCATATTGCACATAATCATGTAGTCTTTAGCTTCACGAAATAAAGTCAGTGACACCTTGCTACAGACTGCTTCTCTGAATTTGCAAGAAATTTTATCTGTAGACTGCCATATTACTTTTGTAAATAAGGGACATTTTATTGTAATTATGACCTCTGAATAATACATTAAAGACTTGGAAGGTTTTGTTTAGCATTCACAATACTTCACATATACAAACACACACACACACAGACATATATATTATAAACTTCAGTAAATGCCTATATTTGAAATACCAGTGCAGCTACTAATTAAAAAAATAAGTGCATTACGATCTGATTTAAATAATTTTGTAAAGATGGAGACAATTTTAATAATTACCAGAACAAGCCAAACTCTACAAAAATAGTTTGTCTGGCTAGTAATTGGACAAAATTTAATTTGAGTGACCAAAACCAGTACAACCTCATTAGTTATCTGTTGTGTGAATTCACTTGTAGATTCTAAAGGGTTCACATAGTTCAGAGTCTGTGGTCACTTCACTCATACAATGAGTCAGATACTGTGCACAGGGAAACAAGACAAAGTCATCATGACTGTGCAGGTCAAAATCAACTTTATAATAAAGCATGTCCCTTCACCTCATAGTGACAGAAGTGCTCTTACCTGATAAAAACATTGTTAGATGCATACATTTATTCAGAGCAACTATGAATCAGAATTTTTTTTGGCACTATCTCAGTCAAGTATGTGAAGAGCTTTATACTTTGCTGTATTATGAAATGTAATAAAGTGGTAAAATACCAAATCACTGACAGGAGAACAAATAAGGAAATTCTTATTCTTACGTTAGGTGTTTCCACAACAGATAATCATGCACATTATCTCTTCTTTCTTCACCATCATTTCCATGAGATAGGAATCTGAAAATAATGTCCACATAAAATACTATTGTCAATAAATTCACACAAAATACTGATTGCTCAAGATTTTTCACTATGGTCAACAACAACAACAAAAAAGTATTAATCTAGACATCTAAGCTTAAATAAAAGGACACCTGTCAGAAAAATGGAGAGCAATGATAGTAAGTCTCCAAACCCCAGAATACCAGATGAGAGCATGAGCAAGCATCAGAAAAAAGCTGAGAGGCATCATTAAAATTAACCTAGACAAACAACATCCCTTATCTAGAAGAGTGGACAAGGCAGAGCAGTTAGAAAACTTTTCTAATGTTCCTTTCTTGGGGGATGTTCCCTTCCAAAATACATTTCATCCAGAAAATTACATTTCATTTTCAAATAGCTACAAATGCCCTGAAGTTTAGTAAATGCAGATAATATAACTGAATACCTCAATACCACACTGTTATCTTGATTTGCATTATGAACTACTCACTTGTGTGAGTGTCCACTTGTGTATATGTCCATGATACCTCTGAAAGCACTAATGTCTTCATTTTTCTGTCAGAGCCTGTAAAAATTATTTAATGTCTTTTTTTCTTTCAGCATAAAAAAAAAAAATGCAAATTCATAGTTTATCCAAATTCATAAATCCAAGTAAAGACGTCTGCTGCTAATAGTAGAGAAAGAGGCAAGTGTCCTGCACTGATTTATATTTTTAATTCCTGGCCTCAAAACTGACATTCCTAATACCTCAACATTTGATTTTTTTCTGCTATAAAAGTAGCTTCACAATTTAAAGTAGAAAGTAAAACAAACAAACAAAAACAAAAAAAAAACCCAAAACTTTTTCTACAATCCTATTCTTTGCTATTTTGCTAAAATTTCTTGAAAAGAAACAACTTGACACTCCAAACTTGAATGGATTTTTAGTGAAAAAACCCTAAAAAAAACCCAAAAAGAAACCCAAGAAAGAAAGCTAATTAACAATTGCAAAATAAAAATTGGAATGATTTTGCTTTTCTGTCAGGCAGCTATTAGTTAAATTCTCATTTTTGCACATAACACATATTTTTTATGTCTCTCATATATGTGTGGACATGCATACCAGGATGCCACTATAAAACCTATTCACTTTCTAGTATCCAATAAAATTCTAGTTTTCCCGGGCCAATACCACTGTTTCATAGGTGACAAGGTTAAAATGCACATGAAGGATTGTGAAAGTTAGAGGTATCTGATTCTGTGGAAAAGACCTTTGGTGAGGAAAAACTATAAATAGAAAAAGAAGTTCCCTTTATTCAGCTGCCCATGGATTCAAGATATTTTCAGATTTTGTTTCTCTGATAGCACAAGATGAAATTCACACCAAAAAATGGAGTAGACTCAAGTGGGACAGCATCTCTTTAGAAAAAAACATGAGTAAATGAAGAAATGCTTTTAAGTTCTGAAAAAATGCTATTAAATTCGCTGACCCAACACAGAAAAATTGCATTAAATTACATTTACATTTATGTACCTAATCTATTAAAAATCACTTCTGATAAATAATGAAAGACTTTAGTGTAGTATAAGGGTCATACACAGGAAAATACATGACTCTAAACATAAATTGTTATATTTCTGTTATTATTATCAAATTTCCATTTAAATTAAACAATACTTTTGACTTGAGAAGTAGTTAGAAAAATCCTTTGCTTCTATATTAACCTATTGCTAATGTGATATGTTGCATGGAGTTACAAGAAATTAAAAACATAAACAAGGGAGATAATTTTGACTTTTTTTTCTATTATCAAATAAAAAATATGTCACTGACCATCTGTCCTATATCATACTACAAAGATTTTCCCACATAAACTCTAATTTTAAACAGCTACCTTGCCTTTGGATGAGCCTCAGGAACATTACTACATCACTACCTATTATTAAATTAGTGGCTTTCATGGTCTATGTGGCCAAACTGGATGTCAATGAAAATAAAGATTATATATTCACTGGTACTTGGACAGACTTGAATTTCCTATTTATTATTTTTTTATCTCTATAAAGATTTGAGGTACGGATGAACTCTGACAGTGGGGATACTCAATGTTATTTAAAAAGGTTACCTTGAATTTGACCTTTCTTTGCTTCTTCCATCTTCTTGTTTTCAAAAGCAGAGCAAATTTTTCTGTTTCTAATATAATATTCATAGTGAAATTTCATAGTACATTGGTTCAGTTAAAATGATTCACCAAAAAAGAAATCAGTAAAATGATGAAACACTTTAACACTCCAAGAATATTATTATTATTATTATTTTGAGAATATGATTTAGCAAAATCTATTCATTAACTGTTTTGTATTCTCAGAAGTGGAAGCTTTAGTAAATAAAGAAAAACAAACCACGCATATCTACAGGCCAGGCCAGGAGTTTGCTAGCTGCTGTTCCACATTAGAATCTCAATTAGTACAGGACAATTAAAGGGCTTCTCTATGGACTAGAGATATGAGAATGTATGAAAAAAGAGAGCATTTCTAATATGAAATAAAAATACTGGATGGAAACATGAGAAAGGGAGATTTAAAGAACAGCAATATTAGAAAGGGAAGGTAAAAATTCAGACAAAATATGGGCTTTTCTGCAGAGAGCAAGAAATTTCATTTTCAGGCTCTCCTTGAAGTTACAAACCAATCTTTCATTACAAGAGCTTTTTCTTTCTTCATGAAAAAAAAAAGAAATCCAAGATTTACACAGTAATGTAGCAATTCAATGGTTATGAAAATGTGCCAGGAATTTAATCCATTTCACATTCAGAAGCTCCTAAAGTTTGAGAGCACATTTGGCCACATCTATATTTAAATTTGTTATACTTAGTCATAATTTTTAAACATACCCTTCATCTTTTTTTTCTTGAAAGAAACATTTGCTGTAGAATAATGAATATGAATTATGCAAAGAAAGTCTTTAAAGAAATATTTCTTGCATATTTTAAGCCTGTTAAAAAGTTGAGTTTGAAAGACATTGACATCCAGAGAGACTAATTTCTTTTTATAATAAGAAAAATCATCACAAAATTGTAGTTCAGAACATGTCAGGTAAGTTACTGGCAGGAAAAATTTTGTTACAACTATTATTTTATTTTCTGAAAGGGTAGAAATCTTACCCTATTCATATTGTAGAAAGTAAAAATATTTCTAATTCATTTCCTTATCTCAACCTAAAGAAAAAAAAAGAAAAGCTTAACATTTACCTGACAAAACTTTTCATATTCATAATGGAAGTTAACTTAGAAAAAATGATTCAGCCATGGAAGTTGGAAATCTGCAGTCAGTCTCAGAATTCAGCACCACCAAATTCAGCAGCAGCTCCTAGAGGAAATAACACCAACATCCAAATAAGTTCTTCCTCAACAGTTCAGTTAGAATAGAGTTGGACACAGAAATAAGCAAAGCAGTGCCAGCTCATTAAACATTTTAACCACAATGCAAAGAATTCCTGCCAATCCTAGAGCTGAATTTTGTTTCCTTTGCCATAATATATCCTCTCTTAGATGAGGACATGAAAACTGACCCAAAAGCTAGCTTTAGCATAGTGACCTAGTCCTTGTCCTAAATGTTCTTAGGAGACTACAAGTAGCATCAAATCTTAAAATTACTAAAACTCATGTTATAAATCTAGCTAAAAAATATTCCTTGTTTTCAAGTTTGGACCCTTTACTAATTCTCCATATCAAGATCGAACCTTAAGTTTGCTTAACTAAGCTTCCTGGAAATTCAGTCCCAAAGGAAAACTCAACTTTAACATTTCTTGGTCTTAGTCCAGGGTTCATATTTTGCAGCACCTGGCTGAAATTGTAGGATATGGTAGTACACCTGGAATCCTCTTTGTATACATGTCCAAGCTTTTCTATGACCCACCTAATTACTTAACCATAAGCCCCTGAGTATTGTTCACTCATGCTGATTAATCCTTGACTTTCTGTATGGATGTGTTTGGTTGTGCAGGGCTTTTTTCATCCCTTTTTAGCATCAAACATTGACTTTCTTCTTGAAAACTTAAATTCACTTAATATCATGAAGCAGGACAACTTCTCTTAGACTTAGTTACCAGCTGGACAGACACCCAAACTTGAAGCTAACAAGAGAATAGCAATCATTGCCAGACGAACACCTGGCATCTTTTATGATTAATTTTACTTCTCTGGCTTACCATCTAGTTTTCCCTTCTGACAGAACATTGTCAAAGGCAAGCCAGTAAATGTGGCAACAGAGATTTAGCAGAAGCCCTGAGACATCCCTGATAAGCTCAGCCAAAACCTCCTTGATGGGGAGTAGTTTGCAGGACAAAGAATCTTTGATAACTATCTGACATCTCAGAAAAGCAGGACTTAAGCAACCATTTAGGTTCTGCACCCACTTACATCTCTGCACCAAAAAGTTACTAGAAAAATAACTTAGTACCTAACCATAAGAAGCCTCTTTGGACAAGATCATCCAGAGGGAGAGGACCCTGGCTGGATATGTCTGGCTGTTCTCAGCATCCAAGATGTGGATAATCTATAAGTAATGTTTTCCTGTCTTTGAGCAGACCAGCTCCAGGGAGCAGCTTAGTGCTCAAGGGCCAATAAAGCCAGAAACACTTGTAAGTACAAAAGAACATTTAATAATGGGAAAGGAAAGCAGTTCTCTGTAACCTCTTTCATTCTTTTCTAACCTTATTTTTTATGACTCAGTCTGCCTCAATAGTCCAAATACTTAGCAGTTATGAAAAGAAGAAGCTAGTCATTTATTATATGGGTTTGTTTTCTCGGTGTTTTTGGGTTTTTTTCATTTTTTACTAGCTGTAACAAAAAAATCTCCACCAGACAGTTCTACTTTTGTTCTTTTCTTCCAATCTATAAGGCTGTGTTAGCTGGAAGAGTGTTTTTACAGATGCAATTCTTGCACACGAAAAAGTGACACTTGTCTCCCAGAAGAACTGAAAGTCAAGTTTTTATCCACTCTTTTCATACATTATCTTTGAAAGGCACTTTCATCCCATCCGCTTTGCTGCATTTATACATGTTGAGATCTTTCAGACTACAAATGAATTTGAATTTTTATAGCATAAAATAAATTAATGTAGATTTGCATTAGGTGTACATTTTCAGTTTTAAAAAAAAATTTGGTCTACTGTCATAATAAGGAATTTTGAAAACTAATTGAAGTATATTTTTGTAATTTCATGGATAAAAATTATCATGAACTTTTTTATCTTAAGCATCTTTAGATATCAATATGCAAATAAAGATATGGTACTGACCCGTATCTCATGATTTCAAGCATTTAACATGTAATGAAATTTACAGATTAAACGCTAGCAAGAAACATCTTCTTCCTGCATTAGAGTTTCCTGATAGCACAGTATGTCACTGTATAGGTTGTTATTCCTTAACATTTCGAAGCCGACAAACTTAAAGACATAGAACATGATATATCTATCCTGAAAGAAATTTACTGATTCAGTTAACAAAAGAAATAGTTGAATAATTGTTGTGGAATTCTAGTGAGCCAACCAGTCCCATAATCCATTA